ATATATATGTGTGTGTGTGTGTGTGTATATATAATATATACACATGGAAAGTCAAAAACAATAAGTTATAAAAGGGGTATTTGTGCAAGAGATAAAAAATTCGACTCGTTTTTGTTAAGAAATGTGTTCTATATAAATGTTTCCATGTTAAACTGCATTAATACTGAGGAACTGTGAGCTATTTCTCAAGGAGTACGATTTTTTATAAGAAGGCACAAAAGTTCGATTTTTCATTTTCCTGTAACCTAAAAAAATGCATATCCTGAATTTATAACGCTCATTAATAACTTTAAAAAAATGTTGCATCTCTTATCCTACAACATTTCCTAGCTCTTCTTGGACATTGAGCGTATTAATCTCTGAAGTAATTCTCCATTAAGTATTTTGTCTCTCTATGTCGCAAAAAAAGATCACCGTATGGATTTCAACTTCAAATATAGGTAAGGTAAGATTTTTTTAACGCAGCTGTCCCAAGCATGACGAGCATTAACCGCCACTGGTAATGGCCGTACCCCAGTATGCCTCAGTAACGTCCGAACGATGGGGTCCTGCATGCTCCTGTCATACCGTGCTGTCTTCAACAATGTTGAACACAAAGATGACTTAAGGGCGATGTTGCCTAAGAATTCGTTGAGGGTCCACTCCGCGATAGTATTTATTAAAATTAATACTGCTGCTAGAGTGTCGCGTTTAAATGCTTCCACTCCCGGCGGACACACAGGCGCTCGATAACGCCAGCAAGAGCCGCGTTATCTCCGGAGAACAGACAGGGTCAGGTGGCTCAGGACATCAACTGATGACACTGCAGTGTCTGACTGAGAGGTTCTAGTTTCCAGTTACGACAGTGGTACACTGGATAGCTGTAGGAGTTCCGTCGCTGTCTTGAGAATTCAAGTGGTCGCCTGCTTCGCTCAGTAGTTTCGTGATTTCTCCGATCAACACAAGGCCTTTCATTTCTCTTCCGTGCCCAAACTGCACTGCACTGCACTGCACTGCAGTACACTACACGAGACCGATCGGTAACTTCGAGCTTGTCCCGGCTGGGGCGGTGCTCCATTGGTAGGGGATACATGGTTGGGGAAAATCTTGCTTGCCGACGTTAGGTCTCACCATCCAGCTGCGGAAGGTCACCATCATTTCCCGGAGACACACCTCCCGGTAACAACTCACCGAACTAATGACCTTAGCAGTTGATGTGCCTGGATTCGCCTATCAATCAAATGAAAAAAAAATCGGAAGAGCCAAATGTGAACGATTTACCTCCGCATATCTTACAGAGTTCTCCTCTACAAGAGTTCTCTCTCCTAAATCGCTACTATCTGGTTTCATTAACCCTGAACTACGCGGCATAACCAATAAATAATATAAGTATTTGAATGTTTATAGCTCTGTCAGTGTTTGTTCGCGATGTAATTGTCACAAATTCTAATGCAACAGTGGTCTATACCAATGCGACTATTTAAAATTGGCCTATGAAGTCATGTGCACTAATAACATTTTGGCTGCCCGTTATACACAGACGTTTGGTTCAAACTGTTGAACACAAATATATTGTAACGTTTCTCCGTGGGGAATTGAAACTAACACTATTTAAACAATTACGTTTATTCGGGAACAATTATACACTAAAATCTACTTGGTCTATTTACAGATATATTCCCCTGCGCAGACCACAATTCTTGGCGCAGACACACTTCACTGCGCACACCAGGTCCACTGCACTGCTGGTTTACCGCGTGCCCACTTCACAGCTCAGCTTCCACTGCAGACTTCACACTGCTGACTGCTGTTTCCCCACTGCACCACTGCTTACGCGATGCACCCTTCCACAGCTCAGGCTTCCACTGCAGACTTAGACTGCCTGACTGCCTGTTCAAACCGCTGCACCCACTCTTCACCCAATGCACATTTCCACAGCACAGCTCCACTTCGGACACACTGACGGACTGACGCTTCTCTGCCCTCACGACGCCTTACTACCCACTGAACTTCTGACCACGTCTTCTTACTAACTGACTCGCGGCGCGGGCAGCGGCGCATTTATACTTGCCGCGGCGCTTGTCTCCAGGCACCCAGCACATTCTCGGGCGTTTCCCGCGGCTCGCGGATAGTCGGAGACCGTCTTCTAGTTCGATGGGAAGGGGGGGGGGAAGGT